TAATCGAATAATGTTATTCATCCAAGCCGTTTTGTTCGATTGATCACCTAATTTTATCTCTTAAGCACAATCTGGTATTGGAATACTATAAGAATTACCATTATTATTTAATACTAACATTAAATATTATATTAAAAAATCTTCAAAATTTATATGTTATTTAATGTTATATTAACATGAAATCATTAAAATTTATTGAATAATCAGATTTTTTGAATAAAATATTATTTTAAAAAATTCTCAAAATTTTAAAGTAAACGCGTTTTTTATTTTCATGTTTTCAGAAACAGTTTTTCAGAATGGCAAACAGAACGCATTTTTAGANACAGTGTATCAGAATGGCAAACAGAACGCATTTTTAGAAATTTCAAAACAGACAATCAAAACACAAAACACAAAACGAATTCAAAACTCAAAACACAAAACTGAAACACAAAGAGAACACCACCTAAGTTGCTAGAATACATGGATTCAAAAACAAACATTTGTAATTTCTAATACCTTACTTTAGCTTCTATTTTGAACTTGCAAGTAATGGTGTATATTCATTCTTACAAGTAATGAAATATTTCTATGCTAGAGTCAAAGGAAAAGGGGAATAAATTTAAAGATGTATTAAATAAATTATTCAAATGATACAAGTTTTGCATATCAACAAATTTCAACCATCTGCACTAGAGTTTAGACTTTGGACATTTAAAATTTAATTATTGACTTAAAACCAATCAAACGAGAATATCTATCAAAATTTACGACATATATCCATCCATGTACTCCAACTAACGTCCAAATATTAGTGTCGTTTATTCAATAATATCATTTAATGTTCAAAATCTCAAAAGCATTCCATATGTATGAATCACTGCATTGCTTTTAAGTGATTCATCAATAAAACGACATTTAACTAGATTTGATCTTACAGAGCAGAAATACTCGTGTAAATTGAGTTCCTCGCAATTATGTCTCATATGATAAAAGTATATAAACATTAACAATCGTCAACTTACTTTGTCGAAAAGAACTATATTACTACGATGTTTACAAGTGTAATTTAATAACAATGGATACAAAAATATTATTAACTTAAACAATATATAACTAATTTCAATAAATAAATAGTTGCAACAAGAAGTTAAATACCAAATGTTCATATCAAGAATCAAAAATATAAAAAGAAAAGAGATGAAAAGTAAGTCAATCCAAACTAACTTATAAATATCTTTCTTGTTTATAAATGAATTTCTCTCAAATTTATATAGATTTACTTTTAATATTAACCAACTTAAGTACTCGTGCATTCATAAAATAACCTTAAAAAAAAAAAAATTTTGATTTACGCCTTAATATCTGGCTTGTCCACACTTTCTTCCAAGTGTTCATTACAACTGTAAATATTGCATTAATCCACTCGAAATTACAGTGACTATTCTGCAAATTGAAGGAAAATTGAAATATCTACAATTGAGACAGTGCCAATTCCGACATGTAATAGATGTTATTAATTACAACAGGACTTTGAAAAGATTTTTAGGAATTTTGTTTTGGATCTAATAAATTTGAATGCAGAATTTCAGGCATTGGCAATCTGCAACTAATAATTCAACTTTCTTGGGGATTCAGCCTAAAGTAAGGAATCCCATAAGAAAAAGCATAAGATTATTTGTAGTCTGATTTTATTAGGAAAATTTTATTACAATTAATTAGTTTCTTACCATCTTAGCCTAAGGCAATCTGATTTTTCATGTCTGTAACAAAGTTTACACTTCAATTCTTCCCTATATAAACCAGCTCCGTATGCCTCTTGAGAACCAAGTACTGGGCTTCAAAAACTGTTCTTTCTCCCCTCTCTCTCTAAACAGCCATGGATTCCTCCAGTGCCAGTGTTACTAGCCCAGACATGTTGGAAGAGTCTCCTCACAATGACGTTCAAGAAGAGGCTTTGACTTCCAAAGAAATCATTGATCAAAGCCAATCCAATGAAGGGGTGGATAATCAAGAGTCGAGCTTGTCAAAGTCCGTTAGGGCAATTCCTCCTTCATGGTCGTCAGGGTCATTGAAGAATCCACATACGACTCCACCTATGGATGAGGAAGAGGAGCGTGAGTATGGCTGCAAGTACTGTAACCAGAAGTTCTCGAACAAGCAAGCTTTAGGCGGACACCAGAACGCACACAAAGTTGAACGCACCATTAAAAAAAATATCCAGGAATGGCAGATGGCAAACTCCAGATACCTGCCTCGTAACAAGTTCACTGGTTCTTCATTCAACAGATCTCAGGAATTTTTCAACAGGGCTACGATGAACATGCCATATTTTTCTCAACAGCGAAACAAGAAGCATGGAATGATGCGTTATGCGCAAGCAAATCGTTTCCTCCCAACGATTAACGAGGGTTACCCTGGATGGCCAAGGCCTATGCCTGGAAATGTGACCCAGTTTATGGCACGTCCCAGCTCTTCGTGCCTGGAAAATCTTCCTACAAGCATTTGTTTTTCGACTCCATGGCCTGTTCCCAACAGGAACTTTCTAGGAGAGAGTAGCAATGTGCAGATGAATGGTCGAGAGACTCAGGGTGTTGAAGATGATTCCGGCCTCGATTTAACTCTCAGTCTTTAATTTGATCGTCTTTTATTGAGGAGAGCCTGGATTTATGCCTCAAGATTTAATTTGATAACTTATTATTTTAGCCCCTGTTTGATAGAGATTAAAATCAGATTTTTAGTAGATTTTGATAAAAGCTGATAAAAAGTGTAATTGAAAAGTTGTGGGTCCATAAAATATATGGTTAAAATTAATCGTTAACTTTGACTTGAAATTTTAGTTAGATTTTAATCTAAACCAAACAGGGCATTAGTTCCATCGACGGGGGTTAGGATTTCTGTTACGTTTGAAGTCATGTTTGTCTTAAGTTCATGTCGTTGTAATAAATTCTACATTATATTTCTCAGTTAATCCATATGCCTAATTTGCTAATCCTACATTCCTTTGTCCGAAAAATGAATTCATAAGACAATGAATTGCACATCTGACTTACTGGTTTTCTCCCTTTTTTTCTTTTTTTTTTTTTTTGGTGTGAAATTGTGTTTAGTTGTGCATTGAAGTTACTTTGAAAGTAGTTTCTGAATATTGATATAGTTTAGATTTAAACTAATGTTTTGGAATTCTAATAATGAATCACTTATAGCTGTAAATGCTAGTGTTAAAGTTCTTTAATAACTATGCCTGAGTGCCTTTGGATCTTTGTGTTCAGATTCATTATTTTTTTCAAATCTATTAGATTTTTAGGTGTATTGGCAATTCTTTTAAACAAAAGGATTGTTGTAAACGAATATGATTTTTACAAAAAACTTGTAAAAGTCAAGGAGTCTTTTGGAGGATTGTATAAATGAATTAGGAGTCTTTGGGTTCGAGTATGGAACAAGAAAAAAGAGTCGTCGAATTTACGTTAGTCTGTCGCCTAACTGATACTCAAGCGTCCAAAGCAGAATCATTGTCGTATGCATGTTGCCCGACTCTTTTGCTTGAGCGATGCACCTCTCACTTGCATGTCGCTAGCCTGGCGCTCAAGCGACTGTGTTGTCTGAGAAATCCTAATTTGCATTTTTCAAGAGTTTTATCTATCATATACTATTTAAACTCCTCATATTATAAATACACAACGCCCAATACGTTTTGTGGGTGGTTGATTATTGCTTTACATCATTATATCATTATTTCAAGATTCAAGAACACATCCAAATCTTTAATGGAGGAAACCGAGACCACATGGCTCAGATGAAATGAGTTTCATGCCGTACTCTGCTACAGTAGCGACGACTGGAGCGCGGAGTAGTGTGCAACGCCACCGTCGCTACTACAGCGGCGTTGATGCTCACTGCGTTCGCAGCACTTTTGAGCACTGCGTGCAGCGATTTTTACTAGGTGATCTCGTTGAGAGGGAGAGCGAGAAAGGAGATTCCAGCATTGTTGAGGAGGGGGAGAGTGAGAGAGAGGAATGGATTAAATTGATTTAGAGTTTGACATTGAGTACGGTGAGTATTTTGGTAGGGGTTGAATTTGTAATAAATTATTAATATTAAAATATTAAGTTGTCACCTGATTTTTGATTAAATATACTTTATATCTGATTTTTGAAGTGTGGTCTTTAAACACATGCTCTAGTGTAATTTCCAATTAAATTATTAACCGATTTAAGATTAACTTATTTAGGCCATGTTTGACCCATATTAAAAATTTTATTATCATTCTTCTACTCATTTTCAACCACACGTTCTTCAATAAAATAATATTTTTCATTACATCAATAACTTTTTCTTCATTTTCAACCACACATTCTCCATCAATCTACTATTTCAAAATACATTCTTCCAAAATAATTTGACTCAAACACACCCTTATTTT